TTCTGCAGTTGTGGGCACTTCCTCTGCCCTGTGATTTAAAGTTCTGATGACTCCCAATTTGTGTTGAAGTGGATGGTGTGAGTCAAAAAGCAGGTACTGGTCCGTGTGTGTAGGTTTCCGATATACTTCTACCTTCAGGCTTCTGTCCCCTCCCAAGTGGACTGCACAATCCAGAAAGGCCAGACAGTCATCTCTGGTGTCCTCACGAGTGAATATGAGTCATCCACGTAGCGGAACCATGGCTGGGAGCGGTACCAGTGAAGGAAGACAGGGCTTTCTCCTCAATTTCTTCCATGTACAGTTTGGCAACTATAGGAGACACCGGGGAGCCCATAGCACAGCCGTGTTGCTGCCTATAGAAGTGTCCCCTAAACTGGAAGTAGGTAGTGTTTAAACAGAGTTCTAGCAGGGTGCATACATGGTCTGGGGTGAGGTTAGTCCTGTTGGGGACATTGTTGGGCATCAAAGGACTGGAATATTGTATATGTCACGTTTCTGGTGAATGAATGTTATCACAGACTATGGTGATCAATCTTCCTAAAAATATGTCTTGGATATACTGTACCATACACAGTTGTAAGTATGAAAATAGATTGTGCAGTTTGAAATAATCTAAAATTAATAATTTTCACAAACAATAAAATGGGGGCAGGAAGAGCAAGAAGGTCAAAAGAGTAACATATTCACAATCTTGAATTTCTCACATTTTTATAAAAACCAAGACTCTGAATAAGAAAGTATACATCTAGGAATAGGCTTGTGGCACACCCGGTACATGAGCAAACCTGCCATGATGTAGATTATCCATGTAATGTCTGGGCAAAAAACTTAGCTCCTAAGAGACAATATTCAGCACACACACAAGGCAGCGTTGTGGTGTTGCGATAGGATACTGCTTTCCTCAGAGGAGCTCCTTTCTCTGTTTTGAGCACGAGATCGACGGGACTGTTTACTCCGTACTTTGCTAGGAGGTGTCTTCTGAGGAAAACCTTTGCTGGAGGACCGGCCAACCCGACAGCTAGGAGCTGGAGGTTCAGGGGGGATGTCTGTAGACAGGCGACACCTTTTTAATGGAGGAGCAGAAGTAGCACAGTCCATTTGGGTTGTGGAGTCTTGTTTTTCAAAAACATTCACTGAACCATCTGAAGGGGGCAGTGTGGCCCTCACAGAGTCAACATTAGGTGAGAGCTGTGCTGTGGCACAGAACGCTGCTTCATATAGCCCTATAGCCTGCTCCAGAGATGTGAAACTCTCTTTGAATGGGGAGGGAGCATTCACCGCATCACTCTGCTGAAATAAAGAAAATCAGACAAGAAAATTTATTTCTTATCACTCATCCAATTCTAAATTGTAAGTGCTGATAACACATTTATTTACAGTATATGTAAATTAATAAAAATTCTGTTTGCTTTTCCTGTCCAGGGTAAAGACAAAACAAACTTTGCCATTCAACAATTTAAAACTAAAAATGAGACATAGATGAAAGCTGTTACAAATGGACAGACTAAACTAATAAAAATAAACAATAGCGGATTAAGATACTGTATGTTCAAATGGTTCTACGGTGGGTTTTAGGTGTGCTGCAAGCACAGGTGATACTGTGAATTGAACAGAGTCCTGGTAGGAAATAGAGATGTATGATGTTCATTAAAAAAAAAATGCTAAAGGTGGATAACTGCAAAGGTAGACAGTCTCAACGCTCTCTGTCTTGTCTATTGTCTATTAAGGCTGGACCCGAATATCCGTCTATTTGGATATCGTTCACTGGGTAGATAATTACTTTTCAGCAACTGCTGTGGCTGTTGTGGGATTTCTGACCTTGCTGCAGCTGGTGGACAAACAGACAACATGCTGTCTACTGTTAGCCAAAGATCATTTATGAGGTAAAGGGGCATGACTCTGTAACACCCCTGAATAATCAGAGTGAACCGAGTACTTCTGTGTGGTTCCAACAGCTACAACAGAGTTGTGCTCCCCCCCAAAAATGGCCATGGAAAGTATATATCTAGCATCCAGATGGTATCTTTCAAAGTTAGAGCTGCTTCAGCAAAAAGCAAGCCAGCTTTTTCACTGTCTCCCTTCTCATCTTGCCTTTAGCCTTTCCATTATTAAGCAAGGAGAAAGTTCAGGGTTGCACACTCATGATGATAATCTTTAACAAAGGCATTCTGTTTTTGAATTGGTTATCTCACTTTGATGAATGCCTTTGGTACATACTGGGCACCTTACTACTACTATTATAGCTAATAATGCCAACATTCCAACAATAAGACAAGCCTGGTTGATCAGCCAATAGACACAGTAGTTCATTTTCTGGCCATGCTGACACATTTTTATAACTGAGCAGTCACCTCACTACCACTCCAGGCATGTCCATCCCTCATGTTCTTCTCCATATATCTCATCTTCTTCATAAAACATGCCATCCTCATGATCCGCCTGTTGGCCCCGAAAACAAAGAGTAATTGGATGAACCAAAGGTCCACTGATGGAAACCGCTGGTGTGACCCTAAGTCAACAGCTACTGGTGTCTACGAACCATCATATCTGGTGGAATTCTTAAATGACAATATAAATGGACTGGAATATATAAAAAAATAATACAGTGAACAGCAAACAACACACATACAGACAAAAAAATATTCAGTATATTTTTCTATTGTCAGAGTGGTGCTGAGGTACTTTCACCAGCAGTGACCGACTCTACATTTGGAAAATATCTGCCATTTTGCTTTATGACTTATGTGGTCAATCCAAAAAAAAAGATTAGAAAAGACGGATGCAACAAAGCTACTGCACTGACCCTTTGGACCTCACAGGTGTTATAAGAAGTTCCTGGGTATGGCACATGATTGATTCCTGCAGCCATATCAATGATAATCTCATCTCGATGCATAGGGATAGGTGGGCCTCCGCGCTCCTGCAGAGCCAAGACAATAACTGTTGTGTTGTCTGCACGGAGCATGCGCTCTTTCCAAAACAGCAGGGCAGTGCATCCCAGCCGGCGGGCACAAGACATTCCTTTTGGTCCCTAAAAGCAAAACAAAGCAGTAGATGAGAAAGAAAATATGAAAATCTATGAAATTCTATAGCTTCTAGGCAACAAAAGATGAAAAAGCCAAGGCAAAATAATCACATTCTAATAAAAATGAAAAGTTGATGGGGAGTATTAGTTGTGCCATTACGTACCACCATTTTGTCATGGCTGTAACACATATTAACTGCATTCTTGGATGGCATCATATTCCACAGTCCATCACTGCCGAGGATGATGTAACGATGTCGTTTGGGGTCGAGGGTCATCACAGTAGTGTCAGGCTCTGGAGAAACCACAAATTCCCCACTGTAGAAATCATAGCTCCAGAGATCGCCTGTCAACAGATAGGAAAATATGATACCTTAAGCAAAAAATACAAATGAACAATATACATGTAATTTTATGGACACCGATTGCCGAGGGATTTTACCAAGGGATCGGGCCACAGCCAGGAAAGGGATCTGGTCAATGACTGTACTCCTCCTCACAGGGCCGTTATGGGTTAATCTGGGCCTCTTCCACACAACACGATTCACTCCAGATTTCTTCATGATGCTACAGTTACAGTAACAACACAACAAACTCTGATACAAAAAAAACTTTTATGCATGACAGAAAATAAAACTCTTTTGAAAAGCACAAGCACAAGAACTGCTCTTCGTGTGATATTGACTATCTGACATACCTTACCTTATAATAATAATTCAAACTTAAAAAAGTACCTTCACAGAAGTAGTTGCCTATTAAGTCCTTTCCATCAACTCACCTGCCACCTAGTCGCTCAATCCTTTCTTTTTCTTTAGGAAGTTCAGGTTTATGGTCTTGTGTTACTTCAAGTGCCTGGAGTGTGATATCAGAGTCATTTTCTTTCACTCCAACCACTACTGCTGAATCCCCTACATGGGCAACATACATGTGAACTCCGCGGATCACAATCACACTGGCTGTAGTGCCTGATGTACTGGGCAGGCCGGTAATAGTCTTTGGCCACTCCGCTGCATGGAACAAAAGATAAATAAAAAGGCTTCTACATCATTAATGCTAATTGTGGTCACAGTTTACAAGGGAAACTGAATATCTAACTGTCATTAAGACAACAGACCAACTATTTAAGACAAAAGTAACACTTTTAACAAAAGCATCACTGGGAAAGACTACAAGAATACACTAGTACTAGTACTAGTACTAGTACTAGTACTAGTACTAGTAGTAAGCAGAAGGTATAGTGAATGTAGAAATACCTTACGGGATTAACAATATGTCTAATTTACATTTGGCACCAATAAAGGAATATGAGGGCTATAGATATAAGAAATAAGATAGTTAAAAAGAATTTCCATGAATTTCTCTTAAAATTGCTAATACTTCCTACCCTGCTCAGGAGAGAATCCCTCATTTTAAAAACATCAAATACTCTATGTTAGTACACACATATAAACTTTAGTTCAGTCAACAAGAAAGTCAGAGGCATATATGCACTTTAGGGATCTTGTGCCAAGAGATCTCAAGATATTAAAACATGACAATATTTCTTGTTGAGGTAAAAGCTGTCTTGCAATACGAGTACATAACAAAACCAAAGTAGCAGCTGAGTTTGGCGCTATGTTCACATTATTAGTCCAGCAAAAACGCAACTCCTGCTGTGTTTTAACGCAGCAAGCTGCGTTGGTCGGGGGTGAAGGGTTGCAGGCACGATACAGCCACGTTGTGACAAGTCGACGTGAGTAAGTTCATTTAATATTATGTATTGTCTTGTCTCATGAGCTAAGTGTATCATCACACCCCTAATGCACTTGACACGTTTTACTTCATTTTTGCAGCCAGTAAATACACTAGTATACAAAATTTTGGACACACTTTCCCATTCAATTCAATGGGAAGTGTGCCCAGACATTTGACTGGTTGTGTACAGCTTTACAAGCAACTATAGGGCATTGTCTGGTTCTGCATCTGTACGCATATTCACCTGAGTTTCAGTACCAAAGGCAGTTTAAGAAAAGTAAAACTACTACTATGGTTTAGACCCAAACACAGACGGAAAATGAGCCAAATTAAAATAATATGATTTATTCAATGAAAAAAAAGCACACCACAAACTCTTCTTCTGATTCACAAAGCATATGACCACATAAGCCAGGCTTACTTGAGTAAGTCAGGCTTATTTTTATTTATTTTTTGAGAAATTCTGTTTCATAAACATCATCATCATACATATCCCTACAGAATAGCCTCATCCTGCTCAGGCTAGCTTTACACCTCAGGCTTACCCAGTGCATTCTAGCAAACAGACTGAAACAGTATTCTCTACCAAATCCCACCCTATGGCACAGATCTTGTGTCAGGATCAGTGTTCACTGGTATTGAATTGATGTTAATAGTGAATTGATGTTATCTGAGCTCTTCTTTTAAAGCAATGAGTGAGTAGATTTTAATGTGGGCTTGAATTACCCCAATCCCATTAACACCACCAAATTAGCTCAATACAATATGCAAAAGTTGTAGGCATTTTAGATGATTAGATTCTTATCCATAATGCTGTACCACCAGGCAGGCATCTGACTGGTCCCAACATTCATTCTGGAGCATGACAATGATCCTGAACATCCAAAAAGAAAGAAAACTGCTGAGACAGATGGCACCATGTCTGACCGCCAACTATCCAAAACCCAAAGATCTACATTTTACTATATGTTATGCACAAGAAAAGCACCAAACATCACTTTGAGTTTTTTCACTGCACTGTATATGTACTGAAGGGGTTTTAATATTAAAGTACGATGCGTTATGCTTTTGTCACATTAACAATGAATTAAATACACGTGTTCAGTAAAAGCATAGCCTGTGATGCAGAAGGTAAACCAAAGGGTAAACCAAGCACCAAAATTAAAAATGGTCTGGCTTCTGTTATAAACACCAATTCGAGACCAAGACTGAATCACTACTTTAATGTTCTTATGGGATGTGTTTTTCTTGAGCTTTACCCACTTATATCTAGCACGCTGATGAAAACACACCGTTTGTTTTGTAGGGGTCATGTCAACTCTGAAAACTGTGTAGTGGTCAGATCACTGCTCACAGTGTTCATTCGTGGTGAGATGGGTCAGTGTGCAGAGGACTGAGCATGATCATACTGTACCAGTATGATGAGTATAACGCTATTACTGTTTCTGCTGACACAGTTTGCTAACCTTGTTGAGTGTGCGCCATCAATAAAAACATAACACAGACAGCCACAAATGTGAGGGGAAAGACAAGTAAGCGTAACTTTTAATGACTTACGCAGCTCTTTCCACATTGCATGGTGACAGGCGATGAACCCTTTCCGAAGAGCAGCACACACTTCACTATGATCTTTCGACCAAAACCCCCGCTGCCTTTTCAACAAACACCAGAGGTTTTCCCTTGCAAAATGTGCCGCTTCTCGACCCCCGTGACCATCAAAAACAGCGAAAAACGCCACTGACTTCCGAGCGTCTATTTGGTGTGATACCGGTGCACTGTTGTTTGATATATTTTCTAGCCACACCGCATAAGCTGGGCCAGATTTGCCAGTAACGTTATGATCGTGTGTTACATGTTCAGTCTGTATGATAGTTTCACTCTCTGCTTTTCCCTGTCCTCCATGTATCTGCGACTTTGGATAATCTTCGACTGTCGACGGTGTCGGCTCGTACTCGATTCTTATCTCGAGAATATCCTCCATGTATTTCCTCCCTCCTTGCTCGGAAAATGCACTCATACGAAATATTATTGCCTCGTCCATGATTGCGAACGCCTAAAAATAATTATAGGTTCAATAAAAGGACATATGTAGTTGCTAACTGTGGCTATTTTGCCGCGATAGTACGCCTGAAGCTTCCTTCTTTTTTGTTTATCTTCTCCGAGACGTCCAGCTGTACGTAATAACGTCATGCTTTCACAATTACGCATAGCACGTCTATAATAGTGATGTGACGTTCCGTATCGAGGCTTCGAAGCGTGTGCCGCGTAGGGGAAGGGGCGTTTCCGCGATGCGCGTATCGAGGTTTGCGTCATTTAGGTGAGGAGCTGAAAATGATTACGTCCGAAGCCTCGCTGCCCGGCTGTACCACGTGACTGATTCAGGAAGTGGTTCGGATTTTGCCGCGAGTTTTGACAGCGATATAAACCCCTCAGGCTCCATTCAAAATGTGGGTGTTTGCGGGAGAAAAAAAAATCGCCTAAGACCTGCCACAGTGGAGAAACTGTTGTTTTGAAATAAAAACCAATGATGTGTCCCCTAAACCAGTGGTCCCCAACCCCCGGGCCGCGGACCGGTACCGGTCCGTGGATCGATTGGTACCGGGCCGTACAAAAAACTATTAATTATTTCCGTTTTATTTATTATCTGAGTATGAACGATCTTTTATTTTGAAAAATGACCGCATTCTCTC